CCAGTTACCAGCCACCAAACATAAAAGCTTCATTCTGAGCCAGCGGGTCACACCGGCCGAGTTGGAAGTGTCAGCCCTCTGAAGGACCCTGGGAAGTAAGGCTGTACGGGGGCTCTCCAGCAGCAGAGAGACAATTAGGAGGCTGCTGAGAAGGGGGAAGACACTTTTGCTCTTCTATTGCCTTTGTGTGGGACAGGTAGAAGTCTTGTGTTCTCGGGTCAGTAGCTGGCACTTGGGTTTAAACTTGTTCTCAGGCTGTCTGGGCTTTAGGGGCAGCTTTACAAGGGCGATTTGTATAAATGGGTGCTGGTAGTGGATTGCTTGGGTGGAAATCTTCCTCGCTAAGGTGAATCTATTATTTTTGTCAAACCCTTTGTAATACATTTTGCCCAAAGCTGTTATTGTTACCAGAGCTTTCTAATTATTTTAAGTAGCCAAGCTTACATATTCTTGAATCCTCTCTACAGTTTAGCCTAATATATTCATGAGAAAGCATGAAGGAGGCTTTGCTTCCGTTTATTCTCCTGTTCCCCTTAATCCCAATCCCTCACTCTCTGCCTTGCTGTCCTTTTCACACTATTCTGAAGCAATGCATGCAAAACCAAGCAGTGACATCCTCTGCCAGGCTCCTGAGTACGAGGAGGACACTCGGTTACGTTTCAGCTCCCTGACAAGGGGGCTCTGCCATCCTCCAAGCTTTGGTGATCCTGGGCTTGCCACGCATCCCAGGGGCACGGAGACTGTTTGGGGTACCATGCTTTCCTGCGGCGTCGCTGCTCACTTGTGCATCCAGTGCTTAAAGCCAAGCAAAAAGACCTGGTCCCTGAACAGCGTCGGGGGGAGAAGGGTCACCCCATCCTTCCACCGGCGGCTCAGCGGGAGTGCGGCAGCTCGGAGACCACAGCGGGACCCGAGGGGCTGCTTGGGGAGGTGCAAACACCCTGGTACCTGACTGTCCCACTGCGGAGCGTGGGGTGAAGGCAGCCAGGACCTGGTCCTTGCTGGGATGCTGCAGTGACGGAAGCAGAGCAGCATGGCCCCAGACAGCTCTTCCTCTGGGAGATGTGCTGGGGGCACCGGCCCCATGTGAAACGTGCGGATGGGGTCAGGCTGTGGCCACAGTGGAAAGAAAAGGCAGTTGCAGTAGAACAGAGCCTGAGGCGAAGTAAGCGAGGGATTGTCAGCCCTTGGTGGGACCCTGCGGGTGCTGGCGTTGCCCCAGACAGCTCTTTGCTCCCATTGGAGCAGAGTGGGTGCCGATGGAGAGCTGCCAAGGCCCGGGGCAGCGGCAGGGTCAGATGCAGCGGTGAGGGGGACGAGCTGCATTGAGGCGACGAGTTGCTATCCATCAAAACTGCTTCCCGTGGCCTCTCACAGGGTGAGTCCCAAGTCACCTGGGGATGCTCCTGTTGTGTGTGGCCTCCAGCTGTGCTCCGGAAGCGTTCCTTGAGGATCTGCCATTCCAGACAGACTTTATTGTGTAACTCAGGTAGTTACACATGAATCATGCTGCCTACCGTTTACATTGTCAGCATAATAACTGTGTTCACCTGTTGCGATGCATTATATCCTCGTGTAGTAACAATGGCATATAAAACCTAACAGGCAGTATTGATGCTAACAAATCCTATACCTGTATCAGAAATTACTGCTTAGGGAAAAGACATTAAATCCTGCTCCTGCATAAGCCTGTGCAGCCCCTGCTGCTGTACAGAGGGGCACAGGCAGCTCCATTCGTATGTTAGAGGCAGAAGAGACTTGGGATCTGTTATCAGAGCATGAAGGGCTAAGCTAACACCCAGCAGCTTTTGATTTACTCTGATTTTTGCAATGAGAGTTTGTACTGTGAGCATTGCAAACTGCATGCAAATGAAGGCGATGCTACCTGCCTCTGTCTCGGTTGCTGGATTGAGGTTTAATGAGATCTTTGGTTTGCCTTATGTCAATCTGTTGTATTATTATTATTTCTCCCCCCCTGCTTTATTTTGTCTTTGATGCAATTTTGAAACACTTCTTATACTCCTAAAAGGGTCTTTTGGTGTCTCTGACAGTTTCTCAATGCAGCATTTCTCTAGACAGAGTAAATGAAAATTAAACATAGGCAGATAGTAAGAGAAAACAAGCAAATGTCTTTGCAGAATCAGAGATCAAGGGCACCAGCAGAGAAGCTTTGGGATTTTTTGGCTGGTAGACCATGAACACCCAAATAAACCTTTGCCTGGAGCTGGGGGCCAGGCTGGGAGCCTCTTGAGTCGAGTCAGCTGCTTGTTTTCATAAAGTGTAATCTTAATAATTGGGAGACTGCGATACATTTGGGGCTTCGGTGCAACCACCAAAGCTCTTGCTGCGGGCTGGCAGGCAGACTGCAGAGAAAGCCTCGTGCCCCGAGCCCAAGGGAGCAGGCGCTGTCAGACCAGGACAGTGTCCGGGGAGGTGTGGGATGTCCCCAGCCCGTTAGGGCAAGTGCTGCCCGCAGCTCTGACACACAGCCCAGCAATGACAGGTCCTTCCCCCTGATTGTTTTTCTGCTAATGAGATCTCCTAACTCATTCATTTTCATGGGTTTTTTTCCTAATCAGTGGAATAAACTCTATAAAAACTGTATTATCAGTCTTCATTATGCCCAGGTTTGTTATGATTGTGAATTAATAGACTTTATCTTGGCATTAGTCAGAAGGCATCGGCCTCTGTTTTCCCTCTTGAATTGCACTGGGAGCTTTTGTTTTCAAATATCCTGTCTATGAAGCTGCTTCTGGTGTTTTCTGACTCTGCCTGGGCTCAGTCTGTTACCAGCCTCAACCTTCCCGCTCGCACTTCGGTTATCAGTTTGGAGTTGGATACCTGCGATTGCGTGCATAACGAGGAAGGTGTGAACAGAGAACTGGAGTATCCTGTGAACCAGATCACTCGGCGAGCTGTTTTTTCTAAGTGCAAGCGTCCTCGTTGGAAGTTATGACGAATACACACATATTTAATAGCTCCTTGAGAACAGCCCAGTACATCGCTCAAGCTTTCATGGCTAAATTGGGAAATACAGTAGAGCATCCTTCCAGCTTCAAAACACCTTCCTCCACGTTGTAAAGATGTTTGTGTTTCATAGAAATCTCTTTATCAGGTCTTTCCCGTTGTATAGCAAATTGAGCGTGTTTGAGCTGTGAGTGGTACATGCTATAGCTGGTTACGTACGTGCTATTTCCAGATATGAAAGGTAATGGAGAAGAACAGCCGTTTACAGCTGTAGCTCTCGTGTGAGATAACACTGCGGAGCAGCAGAGGAAGCTGTGCCGTGTCTGCGACCGAGGGTGTTCAGGGGGTTGGGTGCACTTTGGGCGCAGGCGTGTGCCCGCTGCCCTCGCCCGCAGCCGGGGAGGTGGGACCCTGCCTTGTGTAACTGATTCTGCTTGTTGTCTCTCCTCTCTTTCGTCAACAGATGAAATCGTCCGACATCGACCAGGAATTATTCACGGAAAGTTACTGCAAGGTGTGCAGCGCTCAGCTGATCTCCGAGTCCCAGCGCGTGGCCCACTACGAGGTAGGATGCTCTTTGGTAACTCTGCTCTGTCGGTTTGTCACTTCTCCATCGCCGCCTCTTCCAGCTGCGTGCTTTTCCGTCAGCTCCTGCATTCCCAGCGAGTAGCTACTCCAGCATTTAAAGTTCCTCTCTGAAAACTCAAGATTCAGAGGACTGTTTTTACTGGCAGCGTCTTATTTTGTAAATGATGTCACTGCAACATGGCCTGCTGCATGTCTATGTGTGTTTTTTTTTTTTTCTTGGGCCTAAATTTGCAAAGTCAGGCTGCAATTTGTACATGACTGAAAGCTGGTGTTCAAAGAAACGTGGTTAGAAAGGAGATCAATTAAGAGTTCAGCAAAACGAACTCAGGTTTTCATACTGAATGTGCTGCTTTGCTGAGTAGGAATCACTGATTGTGCAGAGAATAGATTAGTATTTGTGAATGTATTTAAGCACTTAAGAGGTAGGCAAGCAACAAACAATTAGCAAGGATATGTTATTAGAGACATGTTAGAGCAGCAATTAACAGTGCTGCATATCTTCAAAACAAAATTAAATAAATTCCTATTAAACCAGGATGGAAATCACTGAGGGATACGCTGCTGTGAAATCCTTCCAGAAGGCAAACCCACTGCCTGTCCGTGTGTTGGCCCCGCGCCCTGGGGTGGGGGAAACCTGCACCCAGCAGCTCGTTGCGGCGAGGGGCTGACCCAGCGTTCACCTGAGGTGGATTCGCATCTGTGTTCTGATGGAGAGGAGGGTGCGGGAGTGCTTTGTGGGGTGGCTGTGCGCAGGGACCGGGGCTGTCGGTCACGCTTTGTGTGGTGTTACACGCCCGGAGCAGAGGACCCTCCTCCCCTGGGGATGTCTGGCTGCGCGGCCAGTGCCGTGCGGAGGAGGGATGTGTGATCCGGTCCAGTCTCTCCTGGAGCACTCCAGGAGAAGAGGTGATGCATGTGGAGAGCCTGGGGATGAGGGACTTCTGCAGTCGTGGGCACTGCAGGGCTTAGCTGTGTTTTGCCTCTGCTTTTGAATACACAAAGAGTCCCAGTGTCTGCAGTATTTCAGCCAAATCAGAATCTGTGCTAAAAGGCCTGGAAGATGAAGTTTTCCCAAACTTCTGCTCTGATTCAAGTGTTTAGGAATGGATATACAGGGTCCACGTTTGTCGTTGTGGCCGGTGGAGGCATACAAGAAGCTTGATTAATGTAGAGTGTCCAAGGATGCTGCACCGCGTTAACGAACAATAATGCACATTCACTTTACGTGTCTCTTTTGGTGAGTTTCTTAAGACATCTGCAAACACTCCTCTGGCTGCCCTCAGCGTGCAGCAGAGATCCCTGGCAGCTGCTGTGAAGTCTAAGGCTGCAGTTTTAGGGACATCTTCCAGATCTTGATAATGGGGGATGCGGATGCCAAATCTTGTCTACAGGAGGCAGAAACATTGCCGCAGAAACAGGAGTAGCGACTGGTGAGCAATGGGGTGTGCAGCCAATCTCTGTTCTTCTGCGCCTGTAATTGTAGGTATGAGCTGAATCATTAATTCATGGCAGATGTTAGTGAAATGTGGAAAACAACGCTGTTTTGTGTTGTACCTTTCTAGCGCGAGGTGCTGGGCTCATTTGTCATCCCCCCGTGAAACCCCAGCAGACGTTCAGCACATTAATGTCATTACCTAACCTTACCCGCTGGGTTGTGTGACACAAAGCAGAGGGATGGGGAGAGCGAGCCGGGCGGGGGGACCAGCCCAACCCTGGCCAGGGTCTGTGCCGGTGGCCACGGAGGCTGGAGGTGCCTCTGCCCACAGCCGTGCCACGCTTTGTCCCTTATACCCCGCTCCCAAGAAACCCGGAGATGCAGTGAGAAGGTGATGGTCCGCCTGAGGTTTTAGGGGGATGGTGCCCACGGGCAGCTCGCGCTGGGCGCAGCAGAGCCGTAGCGGGGATGCGGCCGATGCACGATGCCTGCGGGCTGCCAGCAGTGTGGTGCAGCGTCGAGCCTGGCGGGGAGATTCCTGAGTTCGTGTGCTTTGACTGCAAATGCGAATGGAAAACTGCTCTGCAGCGTTCCTGGCTCCTTCCCGGTGCGAGAGCTCTTCCAGAGCCCTGAGCAAAGGGTTTGTGGAGAGTCACTTGTTAGGTGAAGTTGGCCTCTTCTGCTAGGCAGACAAGCAGTATGCCCTTTCTCCGTGTACGTTAATCATGGAAAGTTACTGGAGAATAATTTCTGCAAATAACTCCTGCTCTGAGGCTCTTTTCTAAGGAGCTTGGTCTGAGCATCTGCCCCGTGAACAGCAAAGACGCCTGCTCGTGGGGTGTTTCTGTTCCCTGGTCAGCTGAGCAGATCAAGTCTGGGGTCAGAACATTCGCTTTTATAGCATCAGGATTTGTGACACGACAGTTCTGGTACAACACCATAGTGGTAAACGTACCTGAGCACCACCCTGCCCGAGCCTGCCACCCTCTGCCGCAGCCAATTAGTTAATAGCAGAAACGTAAAATTCACAGTTTCTTCCTATTTAAAAAGCAGCTGGTCACAATTTTCACACCTTTTTTTTTCCCCTTCTTTCTTTTAAAAAGCACTCTGTGATCAAAACTGATTCTTCTCATAGGGAAAATATCAACTTCACAAGACTAAATTTGCTGTAAATACATTTTCATTTAATCTTGTAAAGTTGCTTTGTTTCAGCTTTTTGATTGGAAAAAAAAATACTGTCAGTGTCAAAGCGTACAAAAACCCCAGTGTAAGGGAAATTTTTGCACAGGGCAAAACTTTTCATTTTGAATTAACTTGAACTTGATGGAGAAAAGTGAAACACTGCAAAACAGAGATTTCGTACTGGTGTGGCTTATGCAGCTTAATCAAAGTAGTTTGGCATTTCCACCCAGCCCGGGGCGCGCGCGGGTGTCGGCAGAGCTGCGTGGGGAAGCCTCGCACAGCCCGCATCCCCTGTGCTCCTGGGTGTTTCTTCCCTTTGGTTTTCGAAGGAGGGAGCAGGCAGGGTTGGGGCTGCCCATGGGCACTGCTGGACCTCGGTGTTGGTGCAGCCTGGGTGGCTGCCGGGGCTTTGGGCTCTGCTGTGCTGGAGTGATGCAGAGGTGGGGGTCGGGGGGAGCTGAGCAGCACGCTGTGTGCTCGGAGCTGGTGAAAGGTACCTGGAGAGGACCAGGCTGGAATAGGTTGCCCAGGGAAGCTGTGGATGCCCCATCCCTGGAAGTGTCCAAGGCCAGGCTGGATGAGGCTTGGAGCAACCTGGTCTAGTGGAAGGTGTCCCTGCCCGTGGCAGGGGGGTTGGAACTCAGTGATCTTTAAGGTCCCTCCCAACCCAAACCATTCTATGATTCTCAGGCTTCTAACGAGTCTTCCTCCGTGACTTGGCTGGTTTTGGTCAGCAGTGCCCTTACCCTTGCCGAGCCAGAGCTTAGAGAGAAAGGGAATTTATCTGCTGCCTCTCTAGCGCAGCCGAATGAGATCTGCAGCCTTTGTGCCAGGCACTGAAATCTTGGCTCCTTTGGGCATGCAAAATAAGACATTTCTCTGTAAGAAAATAGAGGGAAACGGCGTGTGAAAGGGGGATGTTTTTATCTTGCCAAACAGGAATAGTCAGTTCCAATCGCTGTCTCGTCTCCTTCTCCAAATCATCAACCAATAACTCTTCTTTTCTTCTGCATTACTTCGCCAGGAATAAAAAACAATTTTATGTCAGTCGCGCAGTATTAAGCGGTATTATTTCCAAGGGCAAGTGTAGTGGAAAAATGACAAAAGAATCAGAGTATTTCCAGCATATTTTTGCTTCTAACTTGACATACAGCAAAATACTGCCCTTATTTTATGTGCTTTGTGCAACTGCGTCTATGGCTTTGTCTGATACGTCTGCTGCGCCTTTGCTTTCCTTTCCTCTGAAACTGCCAGGTAGCATTCCCCTGTCCAGGATTCTCCTTGGGGTGGAGTTGATCCCGGTAGCTGGCCTTGGGCTGTTGACTCGTGATGAAGCTGCAGGTGCCCAAATGAGAAAATGCCGTAACAAGCTCCTGTGTGTACCGTGATGCTGAGCGGCACGAGAGGTTCCTCTAAGGATATCGGTTAGCTTCCGTGCAGTGGTAAGAAGGAGATGAGGTGGATTTTACTGGTTCTTGTCAGTGCCTAAAAGATTGTGCGTTTGAATATTTTTAATTGTTAAAGCAAATAAATATCTTAGTTTGTCCCCTGAAGTATCAGAAAGCTCCCTTCCCATTTTGGCTACTGGACTGAAGCATCCAAACGTGGATGCCTGATAAAATCCCTGCTAGGTAATAGCTCGCTGTGATCCGTGATGTGCCGAGCATTCCTCATGTGCTTTGGCTCTCCCTTTCCCCCCCGGGAGGAACAAAGATGAAGCGGGATGGCTGGTTTGATAAAGACTCTCCAAGAAAGGGCAAACGGATGCAGTATGGTCCAGGCGATCTCTACCTGCCCGCTGTCAGGTGCAGGGGGGCTGCTGGCAGACCCCTTCCAGGTAGGATGCTTGATCTGCACGAGGTGGGCTCCAGCCTCCTCCTGACGCTTCTCGTTGGCACCGGCTCCTGTGGCGTATGTGGAGCAGAAGGATGCTCGGCAGTGCCACGGCTGCTCCTTCCTCGGCCACCTCCTCCTGCTGCTGGTGAAGGTGGGGAGGGTTGGCTCTGTAGTGGGGGGCACGTCTGCCAGCCCCTTCCCGCCAGGGCACCTTCCGTGGCAGCTGCAGAGGCGGGGAGCGTCTCGCAGCCGTCGCCCCCTTGGCTCTGCGTTGATGGCACAGACTGTGTGTGTCTTTCAGGCTCGACTTGGAAACGAAGGGGTTGATATTTTTGTTTTTAAATGACATCTGTGGGTGGGAAAAGCAGAAGGCAGCTACCCAGCGTCTGCACCTTCGCACAGAGCCTGTTTTGGGGAGACGGGAGAGCCTGGGATCGAGAGCACGCGGTTTGTGCTACAGCATCAGCCTCCTGTGACTTTTATCAACGCGACGTACCTACTCCAATGCCATTCACCCCTCGGAG